CAACAAGTAAAATGTGCGTAAGTTTCTTCCTGTATCATAACGTTGGTGTTTTCCAACAAGAATCCAAACATATACTAACAGCATTATCTATCCCTAGAAATACTCAGATAATGGAAGAAGAAATCGGAACAGGCCAGAACATGCATAACTAAACGGTCAAATAACGGAACTGATAATGGAAGAAGAAGAAACTTACCAAGATGGACAAGAACGCAGTGAACGGCGGCGATGACTGAAGAAGAGGGAATAACGACGGCGACGAAGGAAGAAGAACACGAACAGTAACGGCGAACAGGAATGCAACAATGGGACGAACAGGAACAGGAACAGGAACGAAATGCAAGGAAGACGAACAGTAACGGCGACAAACAAACTAACAGGAGCAGGAACGGCGGCAGGAATGAGAGAAACGAACGGTAACGACGGCGGCAAGGAAGAAGAAATGAAGAAGACGAAGAAATGAACAAGTGAGGGAAAATTTCGTATTTAGGGATATAGGCTACGAAAGCGCTTTCTAAGACCCATATATGAGAGCGTTTCTGAGGTAAAAAGCGCTTTCGTATGTCCCCCATATAAGAGCGCTTTAGAAAGCGCTTTCGTAGGTCCCCCTTTCAGAGCGCTTTTCAAAAGCGCTTTTATAGGGCCACCTATAAGAGCGCTTTTCAAAAGCGCTTTCGTAGGTTAGATATTTCAAATACCTATGAAAGCGCTTTCTGAAAAGCGCTTTCGTAGGAAACCCTATAAAAGCGCTTTTTTTAAGCGAATTTTTTTTAAAGGCTACGAAAGCGCTTTCTCTTAAAAGCGCTTTCGTAGATGCGCTGCCAAAAATTGTTTTTTTCGTAGTGATAGTTGCTTTCCTCCATTCTGAATTTTGTTAGTAACTCTTTCACATACTTTCTTTGACACATGAAAATTCCATTATCAAGCTGCAACACCTCAATTCCCAAGAAGTATTTCATTCTTCCCAAATCAGTCATTTCGAACTCTTTCATCATGGATTCTTTAAACTCATTCATCATAGTTTGATCATTACCAGTGTAGATTAAATCATCAACATACAAGCTAATAATAAGGCATTTACCTTGTGTGTTGAATTTTGTGAAGAGTGTTTGCTCGCTGACATCCTTTACAAATCCCATCTTCTGAAAGTAAGTATCTATCCTGCTGAACCATGCACGTGGTGCCTGCTTCAATCCATATAGGGCCTTACGAAGCTTGTACACTTTTCTTTCAGCACCCTTGATTTCATACCCTCTTGGCCGGTCTACGTACACTTCTTCGGAGAGTTCTCCTTGCAAGAAAGCTGACTTTACATCTAACTGATAGATTATCCAACTTTTCTGAGCTGCCAATGCTAAAATCATCCTCACAGTATCCATCCGAGTGACTGGTGCATATACTTCCTCATAATCAATTTCGTGTTCTTGTGCATATCCTTTTGCAACTAGCCGAGCTTTGTACTTTTCAACTTCTCCATATTGATTCAATTTAGTCTTATAAACCCATTTTACTCCTATACTTTTGGCTCCCTCTGGTAGATTAGTGAGAAACCATGTTTCATTCTTCTCAATGGATTGAATTTCTGAATTCATAACATTTCTCCATTCTTGGCTCTTAGAAGCTTCTTCATAGCTAATAGGATCACATTCTATGAATAAGGCTAAATGTGAAGTGTGATCTTGACTTGCTTCAGCAGTTTCAGCTTCATCATTGACGGTAATTTCAGCTTCATTATTGATATTATAGTCTCTCATCCACACTGGTCTCCTTCTGATACGACCTGTCCTTCTGACACAATCTCCTTCCCTTGTATTTGAGGCTTCAGGAGATGACGCAGCCGCTGCCATAGTGTTTTCTCTATCACTTCCCTCTTCATCTATGCTTGCTTTATCTTTTTCAGTGACAGTTTCTATAATAACATCAGAATCTTCATTGGTAACATCTTGAGTCTCAATTTCTCCTTCATTTATGTCATCTCCCCAGTCTAGATCAAGGCTTATCAAGTTGTCATAGCTCTTATCCCAGCTCCACTTTTTCTCTTCTTCAAACACAACATCCCGACTAACAATGACTTTCTTGCTTATGGGATCGAATAGTCTGTAGCCTTTTGATTCTGAACTAACCCCAAAGAGTACACAACTTCTGCTCTTATTCTCTAGTTTAGTGCGTTTGGCGTCAGGCATATGTACATGTCCTATACAACCAAACATCCTAAAATGATCTACAGATGGCTTTATCCCACTCCAAGCTTCCATAGGTGTCATGTCCTTCACAGAAGAAGTTGGACTTCTGTTAAGCACGTAGAACGCCCAACTCGCAGCTTCAGGCCAAAAACTCTTAGGAATATCAACCATCATACTTCTTACCATGTTCATCACTGTTCTGTTCTTTCTCTCGGCTACTCCATTTTGTTGCGGCGTGTAAGTTGTGGTTAGTTGTCTCTTGATTCCATTATCTTTACAATAATCATTGAAAGCACTTGATGTAAATTCTCCTCCCCGATCTGTTCTTAAGCACTTAATAGACAAACTAGAATCTTTTTCAACACTACTCTTAAATTGCTTAAAGGCAGGAAATGCATCAGCTTTATATGCAAGGAAATAAACCCATACTTTCCTACTAAAGTCATCAATGAAACAAAGTAAATACCTCTTTTGGCCATTTGAAGCTGGTGAAATGGGTCCGCAGATGTCAGCATGGATTAATTCCAACTTAGTTGAAGCACGCCATATGCTTTTTTTTGGAATATTTTCTCTATGTTGTTTTCCTTTCAGACAATCTGTGCAAATGGAATCAGGTCCGAGAAGACACAGCATCCCTTTCACCATCTCTTTGTCCTTCAACATGCGCAATCCTGTGTAACCGAGATGGCCAAACCTCCGATGCCAAACCTGTACCGAATCTTGGGTTGTTGACTGCAGACAAACTTCTTTTGTGTCCTTGTCAGAATACTTATCAGAGAGCACAACAAACATACGGTTGGAGGTCATGTTGCTCTGAAGGATGAGGCCCTTTGTTGAGTGATAAATGCAACATTTATTATCCTTCATCATCACTGTTAATCCTTTTTCTTGCAGCTGTCCAAGGCTAAGAAGATTATTCCTTAGTTCTGGAACATAGAAGACATCCTGAACAAGATAACTAATGCCTCCAAAGTATAGCCTGACAGTACCTTTACCAACCACATTTAACTGCATATGATTCCCCAACCGCACTGTTCTTTGAAATCCATCTTCCAACCGATTAAATAATGACGGGTCTCCACACATGTGGTTACTGCATCCTGAATCTAGAAACCACACATCAGTTTTGCTTTGCCCAAATGATTCATGATAAGCCATGAGCAACATCTCCTTAATTTCTTCAATTTCAGTGTAATTTGCTTGCTTAGCCATATTTGGACACTCATACTGAAAGTGACCCAACTGATGGCACTTATAACATTCAATGGTTGCCTTGCTATAGGGTTGCCGGCCTCTGCCTCCTCTACCCCTTCCTCCTCTGAAAGCTCCGCGGCTGCCTCGTCCTCTTCCACCATTGTTCTCACCGTATGCCACCGTGAGTGCTTGCTCTTCATCTACTTCCTTCTTGAATTTTTGCTCGTGCACAAGAAGGGAGCTTTGCAACTCGTCGACAGTAAGCGTGTCCATATCTTTGGCTTCCTCAATGGAACACACAATATAGTTCCACTTTTCAGTGAGGGTTCTCAAAATCTTCTCGACGACCTTGACATCAGTCATATCTTCACCACAATTCCTCATATCGTTTGCAATCACCATTACCCTACCGAAGTAATCATTGATTGATTCTCCTTGCTTCATGGCAAGGATCTCAAACTCTCTGCGCAATCGATTGAGTTGGGCTCGCTGAACTCGAACATTGCCCTGGTATTTCATCTTCATTGAATTCCAGATTTGTTTCGATGTTTCCTTCTTTGGGATTGTCTTCAGAATTGACTTGTCAAGAGATTGAAACAAGTAATTCTTGACTTTCAGGTCCTTCAACTGCATCTCTTCCGCCGTCTTTCTCTGTGCAGCCATCGACACTTCTCCTGCAGCGGGTTGAACGAGGCCTGTGGTCACAACAATCCAATACTCCTTCGAACGGAGAAGGTTCTCCATGAGCATGCTCCAGTGATCATAATCACCATCAAATTTAGGAATTGATGGTAGATTAAAACGATCGCCGCCTTCGGACGCCATCGGCTCTTTCTCTCTTAATTCTTGTGAAATTTTCTACTCTGATACCAGATGTTAGAATCAAATGCTGGAAAACTTACTTAATTAAATAAGAAAAGGCCAATAAATAGGCTTACACAATATCACACGATCTCCCTAACTGCCCATTATATGTGGAGCAGTTTATTCCTTCCTAAAATCTAGGTACTGACTTTGACTGAAACAATAAAATAGCTAACAATAAGCTGACACATTCTAATGTGCTGCAATACTTAATTTAATTAAAATAAATATCAAAATATTAATCTTAACAGTTTCCCCTTATTTTTATAATCGAGATTGAGTATCTGTAATACTCTCTTCGATATATTTTGCTTATAAAAAAATCCTACCAAATCTTAAAAAAGAAAATCTTAATAACCTTTTTTCTACGTCACCTTACTTGCGAGACAAAATTCCTATTGTCTCGAAGGAAACAATTTTCATTGAGATCCTCACTAACAAATAGATAAAATGAATAAATTAAATTCGCATTGAAAAAAGTAATGGGTGCTTCTATAAAATGATGGAGCGAGTACTTTTAGAAATGTTTGATAAATGCACACACATATAATAATGATATAGCACTAACGCGTCTTTGACTTTCTTGGCTCCATTTTTCACTTTTAGCATCGAGCAATGTGGGAAAAAGAAAATATGAATCACTTTTTAGTAGAGTTTTTGAATTGGAGGGAAAATCATATGAACAAGGATGTCATAAAAGTCTTCATATTCATATGTAGTGTTGTTTTCTTCCTCTACTGTTTCTTGGAATTGTATGCAATGAAGAACCTCCAAAAATGGTTCATCACTGTTTTGTTCCTCACTATTGCTTCTCTAAAGAATGTATCAGGTAATTTATATCATCCTTTTCTTTATCATGTTGTTAGAGATATTAACTTTAGTTACAAATTAGTTGCAAGTTAGTTATAAATCGGTTACACGAGAGTTAGTTATACTATTAACTTATATAAATCTCATTGTATAACCTTAATGTATAATGCAGGTGCATTTGTGGGAATAAACATAGGCAGCGGTGTTTCTGATCTACCTTGGGCTTCAAACATCGTTGCCATTCTAAAATCTCATCAAATCAATCATGTGCGTCTCCATGATGCCAATCCTCACATGCTGCAAGCCCTATCAAACACTGGCATTGAAGCTATTGTTGGTGTTCCCGACGAAGAGATACTGAAAATCGGGGAATCGCCATCCGTTGCAGCGTCATGGATCAGCAAAAACGTAGCAGCGTACATGCCTCATACAAACATCACAACAATAGCACTTGGTAGTGAAGTTCTCACATCAATCCCAAATATTGCTCCTGTTCTTGTTCCTGCTATGAGTCATCTTTACAGTGCTTTGGTTGCTTCAAATCTTCATTTTCGCGTCAAAGTATCGACGCCTCAGTCCATGGATTTAATCCCTAAGCCTTTTCCTCCATCTACAGCTAGCTTTAACTCATCATGGAACTCAACTGTTTACCGAATCCTTCAGTTTTTGAAGAATACAAATTCTTCTTATATGTTGAATGCTTATCCTTATTATGGTTATACTAAAGGAGACGGTATTTTCCCGATCGAGTACGCTTTACTTCGATCGCTTCCTTCTGATAAGAAAATTGTTGATCCGAACACGCTGTTCCGTTATGACAGTATGTTTGATGCTATGGTGGATGCTACTTATTATTCTATAAAAGATTTAAATTTCAATGATATACCAATTGTTGTTACAGAATCTGGCTGGCCGCGATTAGGCGGATCCAACGAACCCGATGCGAATGTAGAAAATGCTGAGGCCTATGTTAATAATTTGATTAGGAGAGTACTTAATGATTCAGGTCCTCCTAGTCAACCAAACATAGGAATTACTACATATTTATATGAACTGTTTGATGAAGATAAGAGAATAGGACCTATAAGTGAGAGACATTGGGGACTTTTTCATACTACTAATGGAAGTAGTGTTTATCCTTTGAGTTTTGGTGGTTCTGATCAGATTTTCGGAAATTCTTCCAAGTCGTTTTGCGTGGCTAAAGATGGCGCAGATGCTGAAAAGATGGAAGCTGGTTTGGATTGGGCTTGTGGACAAGGCCGGGCTAACTGTGCTGCTGTTCAAGCAGGGAGGCCTTGCTATTTCCCCAATAATGTGAAAAGTCATGCCTCTTATGCTTATAATGATTATTATCAAAAAATGCGTAGTGTTGGAGGAACTTGTGATTTTGATGATACAGCTATAATAACTACCGAGGATCCAAGTAAGTTATTTTAGCTTCTTATTAGTATATTATATTTTAACTTCAATAAATCTTTTTATATGTTTATCATAAAAGTCTCACATCGAATAATATATGATCTAAACATGTGCTTATATGTATTATTCAGGCTATGGATCATGTATATATACGGGAAGGTGAGAATGTGACTCATTTAATTTACATCAATTATTATGAATTGGAGTTACAAGTAAATCTTTATATTCTTATATAACTAACATTGGCATTAAATGTTTCCATATCAGTTCTAATGCAAGCACCGGTAGTGGTGAGAGCTTTTCTTCTATGGCACTTGGACCTGTAGGTCCTGTTGATGCAAGTTTGAGGATGCAAGTGTCTAGCCTTCACTATGTATTCTCTTTTATGAGTATACTTTTGGCTTTGATGTTGTTATGACTAGAAAGTCCTTGCGCTTTTAGCTTGCAATTGCATTTCAACGGTTATTGTATTCCATCCTTTATTATAATGGTGATTTAGAAGATAACAAAAGGGATATAGTATTAGTTTTTGTTCATTATCTTTTGGCAAATGGTGAATTGATTATGAAATATTTTATCAAAACACTTCTAGTGATAAATGTTTCCATATCAGTTCTAATGCAAGCACCGGTAGTGGTGAGAGCTTTTCTTCTATGGCACTTGGACCTGTAGGTCCTGTTGATGCAAGTTTGAGGATGCAAGTGTCTAGCCTTCACTATGTATTCTCTTTTACGAGTCTACTTTTGGCTTTGATGTTGTTATGACTAGAAAGTCCTTGCGCTTTTAGCTTGCAATTGCATTTCAACGGTTATTGTATTCCATCCTTTATTATAATGGTGATTTAGAAGATAACAAAAGGGATATAGTATTAGTTTTTGTTCATTATCTTTTGGCAAATGGTGAATTGATTATGAAATATTTTATCAAAACACTTCTAGTGATAAATGTTTGAACACTATGTAATTGTTAAAAAGTCCAACAAAGATAACCTTGTATTTGTAATGTTTAGAACTAACTCGCACAGAGTGAGGAGAAGCTCTGTACATATAGTTTCTGGATGAAGAATGATTTGATCCCCCTCTGAATATTAGGACTAAAGTATTTATAGAGGTTCTTTGGACCTAAGTCACAAAGTGGCTACCTCTACTCTCTCCTAAAAAATATGGAGAGTGTTGTACCCCAAAATTTGTTCTATCAATTTTCAAGGGTTTTCTCACAAAAGATTCTCAGGATTCAAGCTTGCACAAGTGCATTGGGATTTTCCAGTACCAAAATTAAAAGGAAACTGTCAAAAAGGGAGAAAACAGCTAAAAATAACATTTTGACAAATTTGGAGAAAAAATAGGCCTCATTCGATTCAGACTTTCGATTGGACAAATGTGCTGCCTGCATGCTTGCAATCGAAGGCCATGACATACTGGCCACACGTGCCCCCTGCAAGGCAAACCTTTCGATTCACCAAGCGTGCTGCCTGCAAGTCTGCTTCGATTTGGACAAGTTTACTGCCTACAAGCCTCATTCAATTGCTCAAATTTAGCTGCCTACAAGCCTCATTCGATTGCTCAAAATTAGATGCCTGTAAGCCTGCTTCGATTTGGGCACATGCTGCCTGCAAGCCTGCTTCGATTGGGCATATGCTGCCTGCATGTTTGTTTTCGTTTGGACAAGCTTTGATGGGACAAAGCAACCATCTCTATGCATCCTTCAAATCCACTTGCATCAAGGCCTCTTGCAGACTTTTCCTCTCACAAGCTTCGTTTGAGCCAAGAGATATCTTCATATAAGATTTGACTAAGTTCTTGCTTCCCTTGAAAGAGCGCCTTTCGATTCAGAAGCAAGGAACTTCCCTAATGCTAAACAGTCACAAGACAGGGACCCCCACGTACGTTCTTTCGATTGGTCACAAATGACCATGGGAAGGCAAACCTTCGATTGGACAGAAGCAACCTACATACAAAGCTTTGATTGGAGCTTTGATTCCCTTCGAATCAGCTTCCCTCGAATCCAAGCTGAACCATTCGAAGCAGGTTTCGTTTGAAGCAAATCTGAGGAAATCTCATGACCAGCTACTTGACAGGCTATGTTGCTTCCAAGTCTTTATATAATCAGAGGCTTGTACAAAGGTTTTAAACTTTGTCTTTTGGATAATACTATTCTTGGTTAAAATAGCAAAATGCTACATACCCTTTCTTTTCATAGAAAGTACTTTTATCACAAAAGCAACTTTCAGCCTGAATTTTTTCTGAACGAAAAGCAGGGTCAGAAGCACAAGTCTAATCAACTGCCAACAGGCCCCCCACTTTTACCCTTCACGCTTCATATTTTATTATTTTGCAAGGCTGGCTATTGAAAACATGTCCATTCTTTTTCTCTATAAATAGAGGAATTTTTGCAAAGCTAAGAGAGGATCTTTGGACCAGAGGAACGAATCTCCCAAATTTTCTCAAACACAACAAATCTCTCAAGTCCCTTCAACACATGTGAGAACAAACCCAGAATCACATACCTACTTCCTTCGATTCTGAAGAACAAGTACTCTTCAGTATCCTTCGAATCTAGTTTGGAAAGAAACATAAGACTTGTTTCTTTCCTTCCTTCGAATCCAGCATTCCAAGCACAACTGTTGGCCCCCTCTTTCGAATCCAGCACCCAGGACCTCCACTCAAGGTCCCACACCCATTCAAAGCCTCCAGCAAGGTAAGTCACTCTTACTTTTGAACCTTTCGTTTCATGGCATAATATGTAAATAATCTTTTCGTTCATTTCAATCATGTACATAATATTGTTCCTTTCGTTTTCACCCTTTTAACATGTTTTTCAGAGCTAACCCTTTCGTTTTGCTTTTTGTTTACCTGAACTTGCTTAAACTATTAAACTGTTTGCAAGACAAATACTAGCATGGCCTTAGGCCATGTTGCCATTTAATGCTTTAAACGAAAGAAACAGGGGGAAGGAAACATGAAACGAAGCATTGGGCTTCCTTGCTGACTTCCAAGACAGAAAGGCAGAATCAAAAGGCACGCTTGTACTAAATTCCATCCAGAATCGAAAGCCATGACTTGCTACTGCCAGCCTCAATCGAAGAAGGCAACAAGGCAAAACCAGAAGGCTTCGCCATACACTGACTTCCAGGCCAATCGAAGGATAGGACCTCACCGGTTCCAGCCCCCAATCGAAGGCCATGACCTCACTGGTGTTAGCCCCAATCGAAAGAGGCCAACAAAATGCAATTCAAATGGTTCTCCTGCCCCAATCGAAGGAGCTCATTTTTTATTCTTTTTATCTTATTTTTGTCTTTATATTCTTGTGCGCTTCAATATAGCTGTAATAGTGTAGGATTTATTTTCTACATTTTTTATTGCATTATACAAATGCTAGTAAATAGGATGTATGGCAAGATAAAAACAACAAGTAGACAACCCAAAAATCAAAGACAAAAATGCATGCAATCAAACACACTTGCACACATGCACCCTTAGGGTAATCTCACTTGTTGCCTCGGAAAAATAGTCATGTCCCTCGAATATGGGCGTTTTAGCAAAGACCCTCGATAAAAGATCGTAGTCCCTTGATGACCCTCGATGTTGCCTTCGGTAAACGATCTAGTCCCTAAAACGACATTGCTAAAACGTCCCATAGGTTGCCTTCTATGACTATACAAACATACCACGCCCGTCCCTTCACATCTAACGACAGGGCTTCTTACCAAAACAATGGTAAGATAGCAACATCTAAAGGAGGAGGAAAATAACATCTAAGACCTTTTGAGTAGGTAGATTTGCTCCTAGTTGCTCGCTTGCTCACAACAAAAACATTTTATACACCAACACTCTCATTTGAAACATTTTCGAAAGACAAACACTTTGTACGCATTCTTATAGAAACGAGAGCCATTATAAAGACACCTTTTCAAAATCACTTTAAAAAAAACACATTACACAAACACTTCTTTGAACTATTTTCAAAACACCACTTTGTACGCGTTCTTATAGAAACGAGAGCCATTACAAAGTCATATTTTCAAAATACTTTCAAAACCCACATCACAAGCACACCTTCAAACAAAAGCAAGTGATCTAGCAAGCAACTAAGAGCCCGTAAATAACTACGGATGAAAAGGGTGCTACTACCTTCCCTTTTCATAATCTACCCCCTGAACTCAGAAATAATATCAAAAGGTCTTTTCTGTTTTTTTCAGCCTTTCCTTATTGGATAAAAGAAAAGTCGATGGCGACTCTTGCTAACCGCAACATTTGCAATCAAACGCAAAACACCCAAGTCAGTTCTCCTATCGCGTTACAGAACTGGTGACTCTGCTGGGAAAAATACTTTAAAAACTGGGGTTAACTTAGGGCTAGATCACATTTACTTGCTTTCCTTATTTGACTTGCTTGCTTTACATTTTGGGTCCTTGTTTGGGTTACTGTTAAAGATCCTACACCCGGATCTGAGGCACCTTTTTAGGTAAGTAGCAATAAATCATGGAAACTGTACGGCGTAGACCTATATGGACGAAGTGATAGCTACGTTAGCGTGACACTTTGGCTTGTACTAATGTTCCTTGAGTTAGTCAAGGATAACATCAGGCTTCCTTAGTGTCATTAAACACTAACTGTCCTTTAGAACCTTTTAATTGACTCATCCTTGGCCATTAGGAAGTAGTGAGATAGCCGGCTTTGGTTTTGACCAAAGATTAATTGATACTCGATGCTACACTAATTGATATTTGACTCTTAAGTTTTGTTTGGTTGCAAGTCAGTCGCCTATCATAACGAAACTTGTGGGAAAGATCAGTGATATTGAGATCCCTTAGAATCCAGTTACTATTAACTAGGACAGGTTGAGCCAACTAAACTTCAAGAAGGTACTTACCTATAAGAATCCATGCAAGCCTAAACCTAAGGACTTGTCTTCTTTGTGTGAATATGATTATTTGTATATAAACTTGCTTACTTTGCATACTTGTACATAACATCATGACATCATACCATAGCATTTTCCAATAAACATTTCAAGGATCTCAAGGGCCTATGATGCAGGGTCACGTTGAACCATACGTCTATCAAGGGGAAAGAGGATTTATTTTCCTCTAAATAAACACCGTCAAAGATCAAGTACAACAAACTTGAGTTAAGGGCTACAACCCACTTGGCATGGTGAGCTTAATTCTCATGGAAGGACATCCATCAATACAAAGTTCTCCAATCAAAGCTGTATGTGACAACAAACATTTACCTCGCGAAATCCTTGAAAACATGCATCCACATATCATGCATCATATCATGACAGGTTTCTCCCATATAGGTCTTCTTATCTTCCTACTATTTATTTCAGTAGAGATGGCTCTAGAGCAGACTATCAAGGACGTCCAGGCTCAAAACGCTCGACTTCAAGAAATGTTCTCGAACATATCCAAGG